TGTAGCTCCGCGGTAGGCTATCGTAGCGTAATATAGGTGGTAGTCACGTGATACCCATATAAGGAGTATCATTGTGGGGGTTACTGGTTGGGTTGGGTATCTTCGCGTGATATAGATGGAATTACAATTGTGGGGGTTACTGGTTAGTGGTTGGGTATCTTGGCGTAATATAGATGGAATTACCATTGTGGGGGTTACTGGTTAGTGGTTGGGTTGGGTATCTTGGCGTAATATAGATGGAATTACCATTGTGGGGGTTACTGGTTAGTGGTTGGGTTGGGTATCTTGGCGTAATATAGATGGAATTACCATTGTGGAGGATACTGGTTAGTGGTTGGGTTGGGTATCTTGGCGTAATATAGATGGAATTACCATTGTGGGGGTTACTGGTTAGTGGTTGGGTTGGGTATCTTCGCGTGATATAGATGGAATTACCATTGTGGGGGTTACTGGTTAGTGGTTGGGTTGGGTATCTTGGCGTAATATAGATGGAATTACCATTGTGGGGGTTACTGGTTAGTGGTTGGGTTGGGTATCTTCGCGTGATATAGATGGAATTACAATTGTGGGGGTTACTGGTTACTGGTTAGTGGTTGGGTATCTTGGCGTAATATAGATGGAATTACCATTGTGTGTGTTACTGGTTAGTGGTTGGGTTGGGTATCTTGGCGTAATATAGATGGAATTACCATTGTGGGGGTTACTGGTTAGTGGTTGGGTTGGGTATCTTGGCGTAATATAGATGGAATTACCATTGTGGGGGTTACTGGTTAGTGGTTGGGTTGGGTATCTTGGCGTAATATAGATGGAATTACCATTGTGGGGGTTACTGGTTAGTGGTTGGGTTGGGTATCTTGGCGTAATATAGATGGAATGACCATTGTGGGGGTTACTGGTTAGTGGTTGGGTTGGGTATCTTGGCGTAATATAGATGGAATGACCATTGTGGGGGTTACTGGTTAGTGGTTGGGTTGGGTATCTTGGCGTAATATAGATGGAATGACCATTGTGGGGGTTACTGGTTAGTGGTTGGGTATCTTGGCGTAATATAGATGGAATGACCATTGTGGGGGTTACTGGTTAGTGGTTGGGTTGGGTATCTTGGCGTAATATAGATGGAATGACCATTGTGGGGGTTACTGGTTAGTGGTTGGGTTGGGTATCTTGGCGTAATATAGATGGAATGACCATTGTGGAGGTTACTGGTTAGTGGTTGGGTATCTTGGTGTAATATAGATGGAATTACCATTGTGGGGGTTACTGGTTAGTGGTTGGGTTGGGTATCTTGGCGTAATATAGATGGAATTACCATTGTGGGGGTTACTGGTTAGTGGTTGGGTTGGGTATCTTGGCGTAATATAGATGGAATTACCATTGTGGGGGTTACTGGTTAGTGGTTGGGTTGGGTATCTTGGCGTAATATAGATGGAATGACAATTGTGGGGGTTACTGGTTAGTGGTTGGGTTGGGTATCTTGGCGTAATATAGATGGAATTACCATTGTGGGGGTTACTGGTTAGTGGTTGGGTTGGGTATCTTGGCGTAATATAGATGGAATGACCATTGTGGGGGTTACTGGTTAGTGGTTGGGTATCTTGGTGTAATATAGATGGAATTACCATTGTGGGGGTTACTGGTTAGTGGTTGGGTTGGGTATCTTGGCGTAATATAGATGGAATGACAATTGTGGGGGTTACTGGTTAGTGGTTGGGTTGGGTATCTTGGCGTAAAATAGATGGAATTACCATTGTGGGGGTTACTGGTTAGTGGTTGGGTTGGGTATCTTGGCGTAATATAGATGGAATGACAATTGTGGGGGTTACTGGTTAGTGGTTGGGTTGGGTATCTTGGCGTAATATAGATGGAATTACCATTGTGGGGGTTACTGGTTAGTGGTTGGGTTGGGTATCTTGGCGTAATATAGATGGAATGACCATTGTGGGGGTTACTGGTTAGTGGTTGGGTATCTTGGCGTAATATAGATGGAATTACCATTGTGGGGGTTACTGGTTAGTGGTTGGGTATCTTGGCGTAATATAGATGGAATGACCATTGTGGGGGTTAGTGGTTGGGTTGGGTATCTTTGCGTAATATAGATGGAATTACCATTGTGGGGGTTACTGGTTAGTGGTTGGGTATCTTGGCGTAATATAGATGGAATTACCATTGTGGGGGTTACTGGTTAGTGGTTGGGTTGGGTATCTTGGCGTAATATAGATGGAATGACCATTGTGGAGGTTACCGCTCCTACTAAATCGCTCGCCCAAATTTTAAGAAAATTCTTGTGAAAAGGCCCTTGGCGTAATATGGATGGAATTACAATTGTGGGGCAGCGACTACCGAATACCGATGTGCACTGATTGGTTAGTTTGTGTCACGTCGGGTGAATACTGTGTAGGACCTGCACTGCAGGTGCTGTAAGACCAATGTGGGGGTTGTTGGGTATCGGTATTGATTAATATCCGGCAAATCGGCTGGGCGGAATTATGGAACCAACATTATATTCACTAGCAGGAACCCGTATAAGCCTAAAATGGTGTCTCAATCAAGAGACTAAAATAATTATTACCTATTTAATTCGCGTTTTTGACACCACTTGGGGGTCCAAATTTTGGGCTCTAAAACTCCTATTTTTTGGCCAATTTTTATTTTTTTTATGCTGATTTGGAGACTATTAAAGCACTTGACCCAGTCAAAAACGTTTTAGTTTTTTTTTATTTTAAGAGAGGCTGGGCCTGGTTGGCCCACGAGAGGATAGCATATGAATGCTTTGCCTACCTCTGGGGTATGGCAGTCCTGTGGTAGGATGCCAGTGGAATCAAGATGTGTAATCAAGGATGATGGTAAGTGTTGTGGGGTGTGTCATGGATAAACGCTTAAGTGGTGGTTGAGTGTGGAAGAGTGAGGCGAAACAAGACGGCGTTAAAGTAGTCGCTATGTTACACCTGTCTGGTCCAACTCCTCTGGCACCACTAAGCGTTTAGTGTGGTTTGTAAAGTTGACAATGGTGGAGATGTGTTGGTTGTCGAATATGTCATTGACAGAGAGGTAGTAGTCCCGGAAATATTGACCTCTTATTTGGGCAATAGCCGGGCACTGTCCGAGAAAGTGTGAGACAGTCTCCTCTTCGTCGCCGCATTTAGGACAAGCACTTGTGTCTGATTTGCGAATGGTGCGTAGGTGTTTGTTGAGGCCACAATGTCCCGTGATGAGGTGCACTGCAGTTCTATAATTTTGTCTGTTGTTACTGAGTGTAGTGTTGAGATTTTTGATGATGTTGATGTTTTTATGTCCAAGTGTCAGTTTAGTGTGTCTGGGACCATCAGTAATCCATGATTCTTGATTAAGTTTTGTGACTTTGTCGTTGATCAGGCGTTTGATGTAAGATTGTGGAATTGGGCAATTCAAAGTGGATTCACTGGTTGTACCATTTTTGGCCAGCTCGTCTGCTTTTTCATTACCCCACAATCCAATGTGTGCAGCTATCCATCTGATCTCTAAGGTGTTAGTGGATCCGAGAGTATTGAGGGTGTCGTAACAGTCTCTAGTAGTCCTACTCCTCGTTGAATGTGAGGATATAGCTTGAATAGAGGAGAGACTGTCTGACCATATGATGATGTGTGTGTTGGTATAAGTTGATAGATATTTACAAGCTTCGATGATGGCAGTGAGTTCAGTTTGATAAACGGTGCAATAATCGGGAAGCTTGAATGATCTTTCATCTAGTGTAGTGTTGTTGTTGTCTGTGGTGATAATATAACCAGCCCCGCTACCTGAGTCTGTGCGTGACCCGTCTGTGTAGCAGGTGATGGTTTCACTGGGGATGTTGTCGATGGTGTTTTGGAGTGAGCCTCTATATCCAATGTTGTCAGCTCCAGGAGTGGTGACCGTGAAGCGTCGTTCAAGCATCATGGTTGGTATAGATAGGTCTCTCTCTGCTTTGGGTGGTATGTTGAGATCTACCATGAATTGTTTGTTGATAGTGGTGTGAGTTGTGATGGTACCTTTTCTGGGGGCGATAGTTTCGAGGGTTAGGCTTCCATAGGCTTGAAGCCTGGCTGTGCCCTTTGCTGCTTCACCTCTCAGGAAAAGTATGATTGTATATCTTTTGTATATCTTTGCGGAAAGTCGCGTTAAAGTTGATGCCGTGGTGTCAGTAAAATGGTACGGAACCCTCCATATATATCGTCTCGCTTTATATATAGTAAGATATCAAATGTAGTAAATTTTATGATTCTATTAAAATTTTCGTGCAATTTGCCACAATTTATATTAAGATCTTTTCAAGTTCTGTCCTAGAAATGAAAAACTTCGTCTGATTGTCCCATTACTGAGGTTAGATATCTCCCAACAGAACTTTTTGTACACCTCTACGAAAATTTGGAATGATCTCATCCCCTATGTATTCGAAATATGTGATGCTAATGAAGATGGGATAATAACCCCGGGTTCTTCCAAATTATATCTCAAATTCTACATCCGGTACGGCTCTGCACACATGATATCTCTCTCTGCCATGAAACATGGCTAACTATGATTTAAAACTTCAACCTTAACAAAAACTCAACTGGGCTCTCTTGTGTCATCAAACTAGACCAATAAGTAATTTTAGATTATTATATTTTTCTATATTTGTACAATAAGTATATTGACGTATAAGTGGATGGTTGAGGGGGTTTCAAGCACACGTCACTCTCAAATCCAAAGATAAGCAGTGGCCTTCATGGGCACTTCAAACCTCTTCAAACCTCCCCTGATTTATTTATTATATTTATTGATATTGTTTGTTTGAGCCGTGAAAATAAATATTTGTTTTATTAAAATATTTGTTTTATTAATAGTTTAAAATTGGGAATGATATTTTTTGTGCAGTGTTTATACTTTTTAAAGTACTGAGCGCGTTATTCATATTATTATTATAGGAGCTACAACACCATTATGTTCTCACAGCAAAATATTACATTTATTATAATTAATACTACCTAAATAATAAATCTTACCTCGACTTAGAATTCTGGAAATCCGCAGGGGCTGTTTCCCTGAAATAGATAGAAAATAAATTTAGGTCAAATTGTTTGATAATTTAAACAAAGAATAAACTTACAAAATGAGATATCCAGATGCTTTTTAAAGCTGTTTGACTTAATAATGGTTTAATTGTTGCTTATTGATTGTGAGTTGCCGTTATTTGAAATTAGAAAATGAAAGCTTTAACTAAAATCGAAAGTTTTTGGGATATAAAATCATGATTGATTCAAGGTGGCCCAAAATTTAACATGTAAAATATGTCAGATATGTCTTTCTTAGAAGACCACGCAGCGCCCGATATTCCCCTGCTTAGTTTCTGTGACCTGACATATACATAGTTAATTCTGTATAGTGTATATTAAGTTAAATGCTTGCAGTTATATAGTACTAGTAGAATTAAAATTTACAATTTACAATTTTACATTTTACAATCATATCATCATAACAGTTATTCAGCGGAGAAGAAGATGCAAAAAATCATTATTCACAAAAGAAGATTAAGGTCCGTACGATTATTGTATCAATTTACACTCGGCTGCGCCTCGTGCAATTAATAGTGTAATCGCATTATACACAGTTAGATTAGCGTATATAATCCTAGTCCGGTTAATATTATAAGGCAAACATCAATTGGTCATCAAATCATCCGAAAATTGCAAATATTAGCAACATATTTGTACATGACTAATATTATAATGTAAGTCCATTAGAAAAAACGAAGAGAACATAAATTAGATTTACCAGCAACACGAATCAGTAGCATGTCAGATTTAATTGATTAATCGTTTGATAAATTAATTAATTCTCTCAGATTCTGCTTGAGTATACATTTTTCAGCGAGAAGAAGGAGGTATGTTGGTGCAAAAAGGCTCGTTAGAGTATACAGCAGCATGACACCATGATAGCTTGGCTAGAATTTAGAGACAGAAACAGAAACTGAAACAGAAACTGAAACAGAAACTCAGAAACTGAAACAGAAACTGAAACAGAAACTGAAACAGAAACTGCAGCATTCTATACTTACGGTACTGGTTATCATCTCCGTCCAAGTAATCACTCTCTGATGGGAAATGTTAGGTATAATAATTTGGGGACTTTTCGTTAAATGTAATGTGGGACTTTAGGTTAAATATAATTTGGGGACTTTAATTTAAATATAATTTGGGGACTTTAAGTTAGTCAAGGACTTTAAGTTAGTTAAAGACTCTTTGATGGAAAATGTTAGATATGATAATGTGGGGACTTTAAGCTAGTCAGCTATAGGCTTGCACGTTTTTTGCTGAAGTGATATTTTTGCGATTCACTATTTTCGCGAAGCAACAAAAGTAAAAGTGCATGGTTAGGAATGATGAAAAATATCGATTTCAGTCATGATTCTTCTTTAATTGTTACTCTTAATCACTATAATATTTCTATATTTTGTGTTAAAATGAACGTATGATAGTATGATGAGAATAGCAAATCAAAAATCCACTTCTCAAATTACATTCGATTAAAGAATTAAGAATATCGGACCGTTTTTAAGAAGTTCTTCAATTGGGGTGAATCTAATCGTCTTTAAAGAGTCATCCTTCCCAGCTGGCAAAAACGAAGATATTGCTAAAGATCTACTTTTTAACTTAATACGAGCGGCTTCCTTTTGTTTTTGTTTCTTCTCGGCCTTCGATTTAGCAATGGATCGTGCAATTCGTGCTGCTTGCATGAGTAGGCTCGGATTGAAATTCCGTAGAAATTATACCAAATTCATATATTAGTAATGCCTGATGATTTCAAATCGTTCCGATAACAGAAGATCAAACTGACATGAAAATAACTAGCAAATTTCAAAAGTGTGATTTAAATCAGATCGTGCTATACTACTATATATACTCTAGTAGCAGGGAGTATACCTAACTAATACCGGCTCAAAACCAATTAACACATTAGCAAGATGGGCTTAATGGCTTTATTTTCGGTTTAATTTCTCCTAGTTAATAAGATAATCAGCTAATTGCCATGACAACCCCACTATTTCCTGCTCAGTATGACTGAGTAATACTGAGTCAGTATTTCAACAAACTAATTCACACCAAATTCTTCCATCATTTTATCATTATGTACGGTAAGCTAGGTAAGGTAAGGATACCTAATTATTATTAATTATGCACGCGTCGCCCCACGTGCCATGCAGTCCACTGGACTGAGTCCAGGCTTAATGCCATCTGACCCGTGAAGCCTAAGTATAATATCATTTGTAATATTTAAAAAGCTTCCCTAATTACCTACCAACTGATTACCTTATTGGACCTTATTCGAAGGGACATTAGTTGAACGCTGGAGGTCCTAGCGTTTATCCAAGTTAAAGTCCGTCCAAGTTAAAGTCCGTTGAAACTCATGTTTAGGATATGACAACTTTTTAATTTCAGTCAATCGTAATTTCTATCATAGGATTCGGACTAAACTATATCATTGGATCAATGAAAAACGAGTTAGTATACAATTTAAATATTTTAAGAATCACATTATGGCATGCAGATCACTTTATTGATCTTCAGCTTCCTCGTTCACTTTTTAGGAGTTATTATTTACCTCCACATCTTGCAAAATTTTACACTGAAATGCAGGACCGAGGTGGTCGAATACAAAATTGTTTTCAAAAAGCAGGTATTCCGTATTACTGATATGCTTTAAGCATGGAATATTTAATGCATGATAACCCATTTGAGGAAGATGACCTGTGATATCATCATCAAATCTGGTCATATTTCGTATCTGTTGTTTTTAGACAACTTCCTTAATCATAGACACTGATCTACAGATATTTTGACATTTTTCATTGTTTAACGACTGCCTTTCTTGCTCATTGTATGAAAAATTGATTTACAAATTATCTGCTAAAACTTTAAAAACGTCAAATAAAAAAATGAACAAATTTGGATTTTTTATTGTTTTGAATGCCTTCGAGCGTTCATTTTAATGTCCGTTCATAATTATGTCGTTCATTTAATGTCCAGTCAAATAAGGTCCGATAAGGTATTTATAATTTCACCTAATATTGTAGACGTAGTATCGGAATCAAGGTTGTTAAATACGTCAAATTTTCGTGAAAGAATACGACTTATTCGGTTCTGGTAAAGAATACGTCGTAATACGCCGTAATACGGTAATTTCTATGGATTGTTAAATACGTCCACGAATACGCCATAATACGCCGTAATACGCTGATTTGTCAAAATTAAACATAATTACAGCTGCGCGCCACCCTCATCATTGATCATGCATTAAAGGAGTGCAGTTATACATGATAACTTAAATTTGTAATCAAATTTCATGGATAATCCGATAAACTAACATTTTTTGCGAAATTATCAATTACATATTAATACATATTTAATGATTTTGATGTTCAGAAATTAAAGACCGTCCGCGATCAATTTCAACTTCAAGCCACACCTTTTCGTAATACGTCAATTTTCGAGGATTAATACGTATTCGTATTCCAATACGTATTCCATCCTAATACGTATTTAACAACCTTGATCGGAATCTATAACGGATCTTTTATGGGAGTTAAACAGCGGGTTTATAGACGGCTGTTAGGTAACACTTAACAGCCCTTTAACAGCCCTCTAACAGCCCTCTAACAGCCCTCTAACAGCCCTCTAACAGCCCTCTAACAGCCCTCTAACAGCCCTCTAACAGTCCTCTAACAGCCCTCTAACAGCCCTCTAACAGCCCTCTAACAGCCCTCTAACAGCCCTTTAACAGCCCTCTAACAGCCCTCTAACAGCCCTCTAACAGCCCTTTAACAGCCCTCTAACAGCCCCATAACACCCTCTAACAGCCCTCTAACAGCCCTCTAACAGCCCTTTAACAGCCCTCTAACAGCCCCATAACACCCTCTAACAGCCCTCTAACAGCCCTCTAACATCCCTTTAACAGCCCTCTAACAGCCCCATAACACCCTCTAACAGCCCTCTAACAGCCCTCTAACAGCCCTTTAACAGCCCTCTAACAGCCCCATAACACCCTCTAACAGCCCTCTAACAGCCCTCTAACAGCCCTCTAACAGCCCTCTAACAGCCCTCTAACAGCCCTCTAACAGCCCTCTAACAGCCCTCTAAAAGCCCTCTAACAGCCCTCTAACAGCCCTCTAACAGCCCTCTAACAGCCCTCTAACAGCCCTCTAACAGCCCTCTAACAGCCCTCTAACAGCCCTCTAACAGCCCTCTAACAGCCCTCTAACAGCCCTCTAACAGCCCTCTAACAGCCCTATAACAGCCCTATAACAGCCCTCTAACAGCTTTATAACAGCCGGCGCTTAAAATCTGATATGGAATACCCACTGCTTAGATCTAATGACTGACTTTATTAGATATGCACAAAAAAACCAATAAAAACCAAAAAACATTTGAATAAAACCCCATTCTATAAGTTACCTGGTCCGATGTAATTTTCAGGTGACAAATCTTGTCCCAGCATTGTGTCTCCTTCACTCGCGTCTATAGACATGCCGTTCTTCAGCTCTCCCAGACCCATTTGTATACCTTTCTTCTCCTGAGGGGATGGAGTTTATTTAGAAACTTTAAGAATATATCCCCTCTCGAAATGGAGTTTATTTAGAAACTTTAGGAATATATCCCCTCTCGAAATGGAGTTTATTTAGAAACTTTAGGAATATATCCCCTCTCGAAATGGAGATTATTTAGAAACTTTAGGAACATATCTCCTCTCGAAATGGAGTTTATTTAGAAACTTTAGGAATATATCCCCTCTCGAAATGGAGTTTATTTAGAAACTTTAGGAATATATCCCCTCTCGAAATGGAGTTTATTTAGAAACTTTAAATTTAGGAATATATCTTCTCTCGAAATGGAGATTATTTAGAAACTTTAGGAATATATCCCCTCTCGAAATGGAGTTTATTTAGAAACTTTAGGAATATATCCCCTCTCGAAATGGAGTTTATTTAGAAACTTTAGGAATATATCCCCTCTCGAAATGGAGTTTATTTAGAAACTTTAGGAATATATCCCCTCTCGAAATGGAGATTATTTAGAAACTTTAGGAACATATCTCCTCTCGAAATGGAGTTTATTTAGAAACTTTAGGAATATATCCCCTCTCGAAATGGAGTTTATTTAGAAACTTTATGAATATATCCCCTCTCGAAATGGAGTTTATTTAGAAACTTTAAATTTAGGAATATATCCCCTCTCGAAATGGAGATTATTTAGAAACTTTAGGAATATATCCCCTCTCGAAATGGAGATTATTTAGAAACTTTAGGAATATATCCCCTCTCGAACTTTTTTATTGCTTCATGACACTATGTTACCACTTCATTGAAATGTTATCGTAGGTTTGATGAAACATACTTCGTGTTGCTCAATCTATGAATTTAAAAAAGACAAATAAATAATTTAAACTTTAAATAAACTTTTCATTTTCTCCTCTACTTCTCATCTTACTCAGTTCAAAACGTAAATTCACCATTGTACATCACAGTTTTTAGAAACACGGGTTAGAAATGCACGATCAAGGGCCGACCGAAAATAATTTCCATTTACTTCCTGTTTGTTGAATAAAAATATGAAACAAAGCAGTACGTGATCACAAACAGGGAAGCGCGTAAGCCCCTTTTTAAATTTGTTCATAAAACTTGGATGATATTTGTAAAACCCTCCATAGCTCTATTGACGCCCATTGCTTTCTTTAAGCGAATTATTAGAGTTACTATACTCGCTCACCACTGCTGACTGCCACTGAATTAGATTTACTATAATCGCTCACCACTGCCACTGAATTAGAGTTACTATAGACGTCGCTCACCACTGCCACTAAATTAGAGTTACTATGGTCGCTCACCACTGCCACTGAATTAGAGTTACTATAGTCGCTCACCACTGCCACTGAATTAGAGTTACTATAGTCGCTCACCACTGCCACTGAATTAGAGTTACTATTGTCGCTCACCACTGCCACTGAATTAGAGTTACTACAGTCGCTCACCACTGCCACTGAATTAGAGTTACTATAGTCGCTCACCACTGCCACTGAATTAGAGTTACTATAGTTGCTCACCACTGCCACTGAATTAGAGTTACTATAGTCGCTCACCACTGCCACTGAATTAGAGTTACTATAGTTGCTCACCACTGCCAAGTGCCACTGAATTAGAGTTGCTATAGTCGCTCACCACTGCCACTGAATTAGAGTTACTATAGTCGCTCACCACTGCCACTAAATTAAAGTTACTATGGTCGCTCACCACTGCCACTGAATTAGAGTTACTATAGTCGCTCACCACTGCCACTGAATTAGAGTTATTATAGTCGCTCACCACTGCCACTGAATTAGAGTTACTATAGTCGCTCACCACTGCCACTGAATTAGAGTTACTATAGTCGCTCACCACTGCCACTGAATTATAGTTACTATAGTCGCCCACCACTGCCACTGAATTAGAGTTACTATAGTCGCTCAACACTCCCACTAAATTAAGGTTATTGTAGTCGCTCACCACTGCCACTGAATTAGAGTTACTATAGTCGCTCACCACTGCCACTGAATTAGAGTTACTATAGTCGCTCACCACTGCCACTGAATTAGAGTTACTATAGTCGCCCACCACTGCCACTGAATTAGAGTTACTATAGTCGCTCAACGCTGCCACTGAATTAGAGTTACTATAGTCGCTCACCACTGCCACTGAATTAGAGTTATTGTAGTCGCTCACCACTGCCACTGAATTAGAGTTACTATAGTCGCTCAACACTGCCACTAAATTAAGGTTATTGTAGTCGCTCACCACTGCCACTGAATTAGAGTTACTATAGTCGCTCACCACTGCCACTGAATAAGAGTTACTATAATAGTCGCTCACCACTGCCACTGAATTAGAGTTACTATAGTCGCTCACCACTGCCACTGAATTAGAGTTGCTATAGTCGCTCACCACTGCCACTGAATTAGAGTTACTATAGTCGCTCACCACTGCCACTGAATAAGAGTTACTTTAGTCGCTCACCACTGCCACTAAATTAGAGTTACTATAGTCGCTCACCACTGCCACTGAATTAGAGTTACTATAGTCGCTCACCACTGCCACTGAATTAGAGTTATTATAGTCGCTCACCACTGCCACTGAATTAGAGTTACTATAGACGTCGCTCACCACTGCCACTAAATTAGAGTTACTATGGTCGCTCACCACTGCCACTGAATTAGAGTTACTATAGTCGCTCACCACTGCCACTGAATTAGAGTTACTATAGTCGCTCACCACTGCCACTGAATTAGAGTTACTATTGTCGCTCACCACTGCCACTGAATTAAGGTTATTGTAGTTCGGTGCAGATATGAGATTATAGATCATTTCTAATTTCTACCAGTAAAGAGCTGAAAGAAGGACTTGTAATGTAGGAGCTGTATCTCTCTGTTATTATTTAACTGTCACATTTCAATAGATGTGGATACTGGCGGGGAGGTGATAATTGTTTGTTTACATTAATAGTGAGCACATGTTAAGCAGGCTGAGGAGGTGATCATTGTTTGTTTACATTTTAGGTCGAGCACATGTTAAGCAGGCTGATGAGGTGATACATATTTTGTATTATAGAAGGCTTGTAACACTTGTAACGCCTTCTTGTTACCCCCCTTTGAGGGCCCCGAATTAATTTCTGAACGAAAGCTCAAAAATAACCGAGAAATCGACCTTCTTATTAACTCATTTTGATGACCGTTTCTAACCTAAAATTGCACGAAAAATCGATTTAGCTAGGTTTCAAAACCTATAAACACTTCCTTATCCCTCAAAATTGATGTTTTATAGTTTAGAATGCGAGCAACAAGCAACATATATTTTGATCCTTCGGTTCTACTGCAGCTCTTGACCTAGGGCTGAAACCGAAAGATCGAGGCAATCCTCACCTTAACTGATCGAACTTGAGCGAAGAGCAGAGTACAACAAAACACAGCAGGTAAGTCATTTTGGTGACTGTTCCTCACCTGTACAACGTTGCACGAGAAATCGATTTAAGTTGGTTTTACAACCCAATAACGCTTCCCTATTCCTAAAATTTTTGTGTTACTCAAACAAAGAACATGATGATTCTGCAAAGAACAAGGAGATCATCTCGTTAACAACTTGAACAGGTTCTATCACAATTTTCAGAGCAGAGCACGATAGCAAAGTCAAAAGAAACAAAATAAAGGTAGGTAACCAACACAATGATATAACAATCACAATAACAACTGAATTAAATTTATTCGGACGACGGGCAGCCCTGATGTGCTCCGTGATCCTGACCAATTGTAAAAGAGGTGCTATGTCACGTGACGCAGATCCGTCCAATCACAAACAGGAAGAGTGAGCAGAGGGACATTATATCGTATGTTTACCTTTCTTATCTGTTCACTCGAAATATGAGATTTTTCTGAACGGGCCCCTAACACTAACAGTTAAAACCAACTTAAATCGTATTTATATTTTTGTATGCTGATTGTGAATCACCCAACTGATGCTCCTCTGGCGAGATAACATGCTATGACCTATGATTTCTAATTTCTCGTTAAGGTTTCAGCATATGCTTAAGTTAGAAATCGGGTTTGTGTTAGGGTTAGGGTCATAATTGTGGGTGGTTAAGGTTTCAGAGCCATCTAGAGAACGTGTTGAAACGTCACGTATCAGTTGAGTGTAGAGTGATTAATCATCGTCCGGTTAGTTAAGAATAAGCGGAATAAAAAGCGAATTAAATTTCAGGAGTTACACTTACACTTAACATCCCAGCGGGGATGTGGGGCAAGACTCAGTTCACGCCGGAAGAAGTAGCAGCCAGCAGAAAAGTCAGCATCGCCCGCATCCACGTGGAACGCTCCATTGGCTATCTGAAGCGGTACAAGATTTTGGGAAACAAAGTTGTGGCGAAGATGTTGCCTTATCTCAGCGACATCGCATTCGTGTGTGCCCAACTTGTCAATTTGAACCCTTTTTTTAAGGGAGGTGGACAGTGATTTTAAAAAAATGACCAGGTCTACTTAAATAACTACAAAATTATGTTAATGTTCTGTTCTGACTGGACAATAAGCACTACAGTCAGTTGGGGGAGAGACCAACACACTATCAAGATTGTTTGACTATCGTAAACAACCCCCACCCTCCCCCCCCCCCCCCCCCCCGTCTGCTGACTATTCCTGTTTGTGATTGGACGGATCTGCGTCACGTGACATAGCACCTCTTTTACAATTGGTCAGGATCACGGAGCACATCAGGGCTGCCCGTCGTCCGAATAAATTTAATTCAGTTGTTTATATTGTGATTGTTATATCATTGTGTTGGTTACCTACCTTTATTTTGTTTCTTTTGACTTTGCTATCGTGCTCTGCTCTGAAAATTGTGATAGAACCTGTTCAAGTTGTTAACGAGATGATCTCCTTGTTCTTTCGTTGCAGAATCATCATGTTCTTTGTTTGAGTAACACAAAAATTTTAGGAATAGGGAAGCGTTATTGGGCTGTAAAACCAACTTAAATCGATTTCTCGTGCAACGTTGTACAGGTGAGGAACAGTCACCAAAATAACTTACCTGCTGTGTTTTGTTGTACTCTGCTCTTCGCTCAAGTTCGATCAGTTAAGGTGAGGATTGCCTCGATCTTTCGGTTTCAGCCCTAGGTCAAGAGCTGCAGTAGAACCGAAGGATCAAAATATATGTTGCTTGTTGCTCGCATTCTAAACTATAAAACATCAATTTTGAGGGATAAGGAAGTGTTTATAGGTTCTGAAACCTAGCTAAATCGATTTTTCGTGCAATTTTAGGTTAGAAACGGTCATCAAAATGAGTTAATAAGAAGGTCGATTTCTCGGTTATTTTTGAGCTTTCGTTCAGAAATTAATTCGGGGCCCTCAAAGGGGGGTAACAAGAAGGCGTTACAAGTGTTACAAGCCTTCTATAATACAAAATATGTATCACCTCATCAGCCTGCTTAACATGTGCTCGACCTAAAATGTAAACAAACAATGATCACCTCCTCAGCCTGCTTAACATGTGCTCACTATTAATGTAAACAAACAATTATCACCTCCCCGCCAGTATCCACATCTATTAGATGGTCGTGCCACTCTTCAATAAATTTGGTTGATTCCTGATGAACAATCCGTCGCAATCGCAAATATAAATTTCCCGATGTAAACATGCATCATGGTATTTTAGCAACAATCTTTTACTGTCGGCATGAGGAGTTAGCTAGAAACTAATAACTTTCAAGCGGTGTCTAGTAAATCTTACCAGACGCACTCCCATCAGTCAAGACGTTCGCCGATAATACTAGACATAATATGATATATTGCGATGGGCGGAAATTCACAATTTGTTCAGGAAGAATGAGATATTGTCGGCGCATGCAATGTTCTTAACCTTCATTAGTTTGTTCTTGTGTACCTTCTGTTTGATCTCTTGTCTAACTACTCATTGATAAGTTTCCGCCGTTAACCAATAAGAGAGGACACTGATTTTTCTCATTTAGCTTGAATAAGTGAAGCCTTATTACTGGTAACTCTCTTTAGAATTTTTACAAATTGTGACTACTTGTCATATTAGAGCTCAGGATGTTAGGCGTTTGTTTAACGTCCATTTTTATAATCGATACAATATTAAAATATTAAAGACCCAATGTTATTATGTTAATTTCAAAAAATCGAATGCCCCTTAGAAGAAGATGAAATTAAAATCATTCCTCGTTAGATTCCCTACACAATATAATCACTAATTCTTTCCGGAAACGGAATAATGAACCTAATCCCGGTCGACCCTTGAAGAGTTGATAGAAAGAACACAATGAACACTTGATGATCCACTGATATATTGCATACCGTCTAGGATACACTTAACAAAGTTTCTCTTCTATTTATTTCCTAAATGTACGTGAAATATACGTGTAAAATACGTGTAAAATTCACATCACGGTCCTTATTTTTTACTCACCATTTTTTTGACATGAAAAGTTATACGTCACATTTTAACAATGAACATAATATTAAGTTACACGTTTTGTGACACTATACATATATTGCACTTTTTACTGACAACTCATGCATGACCGGGGAGGAGGGGATAACTCACCATGTCCAGTCGCTGCTGTTCCTGCATTTAATATTATAATAAAGGTCTGGTGTTGAACATTCATTATTACCATTACATCATGGTTCCGATACATAACGTCAGTAATACTAACTAATTCAATATTGAGATATTGCACTAATTCAATATTGAGATATTGCATAGGATCATGAAACCCATTCTCTGCTAAGAATATCACCTTTTAGGGTGTGATATGTAATGGAGAGGCTGAGACGTGGTGTACATAGACGTTGGTGATAGTGGGAAGGTTATCCATTTCATAAATAAGTATTGAGTAAGTATATACTATATAATAAATACTCTTTATGAGGTCTCCCTGACCCTAGTTTGATACTTTGAGAGAAGGTATTGCCTGGTCCCACCATTACCAACGTCTACACTGTGGAGCTAGTTGAAAGTAGTACACACAGGTCAATAGCAGGTACAACATAAAGAGGTGATCGTATTGTAACTATACGAGATAGAACGTTAAAGTACGACTACGATCACGAGATAGAAAGTTAAAGTACGACTACGATCACGAGATAGAACGTTAAAGTACGACTACGATCACGAGATAGAACGTTAAAGTACGACTACGATCACGAGATAGCACGTTAAAGTACGACTACGATCACGAGATAGAACGTTAAAGTACGACTACGATCACGAGATAGAACGTTAAAGTACGACTACGATCACGAGATAGCACGTTAAAGTACGACTACGATCACGAGATTTACACCACCTCACAGATATCACGTGACTTACCCACAGTTCCTCGCGTTGCTTCTCCTAAAGTCAAATCAGTAAGTTAAACGTTTTTGTATCACTAACATGTTGGTCAATTGATCGGTTAATCATCAATAACTTCTATATAATCGATAGATATTACAGTATCATCAGAGAGGACGTTATATGTAGCGATATGGCTCTATTACTTCTTTATCTTATTAATCAAAACTTGGAGTTGTTTACGAAAACCTGGGCTAATTCTCTAACTGGTTAAATAGCTTGTAGCGGTCACTTACGTAGCATGGAAAATACACAATGTTTTCTGACATGAAGCAAATGAGCACTATTACGCTTTTTGGGATAAATTATACACGGTTTTTGGCTTACCATCTCCGCTCTTTGTTTCTCCTAAAGTCGTGTAAAAGATATAAGACATGGAGTGTAGATACATGCTTCACATGATGATAATGGTAATGCAGCTATCAACATGGTAATAAATAAGAAGTCAAGGAATTACTTACCATTTCTTTTTGCTGCTTCTTTAGCGCTTTCTTCTTCCTCTTCTCCTCTCTGCAATAATCAAAGTCAAGTTATTTAGTTAAAACTTTCCTCAATGTTTAAAATCTGATGGGAATATTTTGGCTCCTTTTTAAACCCTTCCCGACTTTTTGACTCGCCTCCACCCCGATAGTAATCAATTCGTTCGTCAAGGATCTAATTTCAATATTTCAATGAACCCTTAACATGCATAATCTGCATAATGTTTAAAAAGAGGTTAATATTAACAATGGACTGAAATCGTAGGTGATGATATTATGGGCTCAACCAAAAGAAAGAAAGCCAACATTATAAAATCCTCATAAATTAATGATTATGATAATTATGATAATTTGCCCTTAATTCCTCCTGATTAACTTACTCCTCATTTTCAACTGAGTTGAGTCTACTGGGTTGATTTCTACTATTTTTCCTGATAGCAGTCCGATGATAGGAAAGTCGAGCAGAACGGGCCGCTCTGGCAGCATGCATCTTCTTCAGAGAGAGAGCAATTAAAAAGTATGCTATAGCCAGATCCCTGCCTCCAAAAAATAAATTTGAAAGCTTTATGAGCCTATCAGAATAGCAAAATATGGGTTAACCAATTTCTATCAATAATTGGAAAACCACTCAACCGAATATGATTCAGTAAAGTACTGTAATGTTTTTTAAGTCCTTAAATACATAGTATTTATAGTTGAGATGATAATCACATTTTCCACTATAAAAATCAAAACAAGGAACATTAATTTGGGTATTAGACACTCTGTACACAAGTACTGTGGCACGCACCATGAAAATAGGGCTCAAGTCTACCTTACTATAATAGTCTATTGATTGAACTCAAGCAATAAGAAGCTATATAATATAACAAGGGAATAAAACGTTAAGTTCCTGAACAACGACGCTAATACAAAATGATGACTATACGGTACAATGGCTATAACAATTATAAAATTAGCAACCACAATAATAAGAGGACGAGTTAGCAGATTGTTTGCGGAGTTAGCAGCCCAACAATTCTTCTCCCCAGCCAGATGCTTAATTACTGACTTATTGCTCTTTATTGCATCTCTTCCTTACCTTAAATGGAGTCAATAATTTGAGTGATTGCGCAAATTACATTCGTTAACCAATTACATACACAAGTGAGGACAGGAAAACAATAAGCTATATCTGTATATGTGTCTTTGTGTGTCCGGTCAAGCTGGAAATGTTGGAGAACATTAGCAAGGATAGGAACTTGGGGAATGGGCTAAGTGTTGGAGAACATAAGCAAGGATAGGAACTTGAGGAATGGGCTAAGTATGTAATTTAGTTGTTGAGAGTGAGATAAGTTATGTAAAATGCTAAAGTGACGCTGACAGAGTCATTGAAGAAGAGCATTGATGGCCGCTGCTAGAATGCTTAAGATGGCACTGAATATAAACTGGAAGCAGGACAAAACCAACAAAGAAGTCTATGGCAACCTGCCAAGAGCAACCATGAATAATTGCTTGCTACTTTGAGACACAATTCATGGAGTACTAGCCTACGAGCTGACACGGGTCAAAACGACACTGGAGAAATTGGAGGAAATGTGTTGGATAGAGTTCTGTGGAGACAACGCATCGAAAATCGGACGCTGAAGCCGCCCTAAGTCATGCTAAGTAGGTCAAGATCGAGGTAGGACCTGTCGTGATATCATGGATCGCTTAGGTTCCACCAGGATCTGGTAGTCCTCACACTGGCCGTTGGGGCAGTGTGGTCGAGGTTGGGGTAATATGGTCGAGGTTGGGGTAATATGGTCGATTGGTCGAGGTTGGGGTAGTGTGGTCGAGGTTGGAGTAATGTGGTCGAGGTTGGGGTAATGTGGTCGAGGTTGGGGTAATGTGGTCGAGGTTGGGGTAGTGTGGTCGAGGTTGGGTAATGTGGTCGAGGTTGGGGTAATTTGGTCGAGGTTGGGGTAATATGGTCGAGGTTGGGGTAGTATAGTCGAGGTTGGGTTAGTGTGGTCAAGGTTGGGGTAGTGTGGTCGAGGTTGGGGTAGTCCGGTAGTGTGGTCGAGGTTGGAGTAATGTGGTCGTGATTGGGGTAATGTGGTCGAGGTTGGGGTAATGTGGGTCGAGGTTGGGGTAATGTGGTTGAGGTTGGCGTAATGTGGGTCGAGGTTAGGGTAAATGTGGTCGAGGTTGGATAGTGTGGTCGAGGTTGGGGTAATGTGGTCGAGGGTTGGGGTAATGTGGTCGAGGTTGGGGAAGTATGGTCGAGGTTGAGGTAGTGTGGTCGAGGTTGGGGTAGTGTGGTCGAGATTGGGGTAATGTGATCGAGTTGGGTATGGTGGTTGAGGTTGGGGTTAGTGTGTTGAGGTTGGGTAGTGTGGTCGAGTTGGTAATGTGCGAGGTTGGGGTAATGTGGTCCGGTAGTGTGGTCGAGGTTGGAGTAATGTGGTCGTGATTGGGGTAATGTGGTCGAGGTTGGGGTAATGTGGTCGTGATTGGGGTAATGTGGTCGAGGTTGGGGTAATGTGCTTGAGGTTGGGCTAATGTGGTCGAGGTTAGGGTAATGTGGTCGAGGTTGGGATAGTGTGGTCGAGGTTGGGGTAATGTGGTCGAGGTTGGGGTAATGTGGTCGGGGTTGGGGCAGTATGGTCGAGGTTGAGGTAGTGTGGTCGAGGTTGGGGTAATGTGGTCGAGGTTGGGGTAATGTGGTAGAGGTTGGGGTAGTGTGGTTGAGGTTGGGGTAGTGTGGTTGAGGTTGGGGTAGTGTGGTCGAGGTTGGGTAATGTGGTCGAGGTTGGGGTAATGTGGTCGAGGTTGGGGTAATGTGGTCGAGGTTGGGGTAGTGTGGTCGAGATTGGGGTAATGTGATCGAGGTTGGGGTAGTGTGGTTGAGGTTGGGTAGTGTGGGTGAGGTTGGGGTAGTGTGGTCGAGGTTGGGTAATGTGGTCGAGGTTGGGGTAATGTGTTCGAGGTTGGGGTAGTGTGGTCGAGATTGGGGTAATGTTGTCGAGGTTGGGGGAGTGTGGTCGAGGTTGGGTAATGTGGTCGAAGTTGGGGTAATGTGGTCGAAGTTGGGGTAATGTGGTTGAGGTTGGGGTAGTGTGGTCGAGGTTGGGGTAGTATGGTTGAGGTTTGGATAATACTGCAATATAGTCGAGGTTGGGGTAATGTGGTCGAGGTTGGGGTAGTGTGGTCGAGGTTGGGGCAGTGTGGTCGAGGTTGGGGTAATGTGGTCGTGATTGGGGTAGTGTGGTCGAGGTTGGGGTAGTATGGTTGAGGTTTGGATAATACTGCAATATAGTCGAGGTTGGGGTAGTATGGTTGGTGATTCCTCAATTCCTCTGGCACAAAGAAAGCGGTGCTGTATATGTATATTTCCTATTTTAGCCTCAAAAAGAGGAGCACGTCTAGTTCAATATGTATGACATATAGGACAGCTTTCCTGAGGGGAGGGTTCTAGAGGTGACAACGAAAGAAAGACGTTCAATGTTTTGCTTAAACTAAACGAAATCCTCTTCTCCATAAAACATGTTACATACGATTCACTATAAAACAGATAACTGTAACTCAAATATTGCAAATCATTGGATGGGTTTTAATAAACTTGGACCAGGACAAGCATGACGCAGGATCTTTTAAAACGTGATAACGGTTTGTTAAACGAGTTTTAAAGACACAGATTCCTTCGACAATCTTCATTTTGCCTCCAACCACCCCTATGTGCATACAAAGAAGCATGCTCCCTACTCTTTAGCCAAGCGAATCGTAGGGGTCGTAACATCATAAAAGATGCAATCATCAAAGTCAAAAAGACGCCTTGAAGCGAATGATTGGCATAGTAAAGAAAAAGACAAAGGGACAATATGAACACATCATCAACTTTAGTACTAATATTGACGGATGATACGGTCTAAGCTTCTTCGAAGGCAACGCGCGCCGGGTCAGTCCATTAACTTATTAACAATGGCTAACCCCCCCTCCCCCCTAACAATGGCTAACCCCCATCCCCCCTAACAATGGCTAACCCCCCCTCCCCCCTAACAATGGCTAACCCCCTCCCCCCAACAATGGCTAACCCCCTCTCCCCCTAACAATGGCTAACCCCCCTCCCCCCTAACAATGGCTAACCCCCTCCCCCCTAACAATGGCTAACCCCCCCCCCTAACAATGGCTAACCCCCTCCCCCCTAACAATGGCTAACCCCCTCCCCCCCCCAACAATGGCTAACCCCCCCCCCCCCCCTAACAATGGCTATCCCCCCTAACAATGGCTAACCCCCTCCCCCCTAACAATGGTTAACCCCCCTCCCCCCTAACAATGGCTAACCCCCTCCCCCCAACAATGGCTAACCCCCTCTCCCCCTAACAATGGCTAACCCCCCTCCCCCTAACAATGGCTACCCCCTCCCCCTAACAATGGCTACCCCCTCCCCCCTAACAATGGCTAACCCCCCTCCCCCCTAACAATGGCTAACCCCCCTCCCCCCCATAACAATGGCTAACCCCCTCCCCCTAACAATGGCTAACCCCCCTCCCCCTAACAATGGCTAACCCCCCTCCCCCTAACAATGGCTAACCCCCCCCCCCCTAATAATGACTAACCCCCCCCCCCCCTAACAATGGCTAACCCCCTCCCCCCTAACAATGGCTAACCCCCTCCCCCATAACAATGGCTAACCCCCTCCCCCCTAACAATGGCTAACCCTCCCCTAACAATGGCTAACCCCCCACCCCCCCCCCCCCCCCTAAAAGAAAGGAGCATACTATCAGTTGCCTGACCGACACGACACACGTTTTGAGCCAAAACGAGCATTACCCCTCAATCTCAAGAAACCATGGCAAGTCTATATATGTGGCTCCAACTTGTTTATATAACCCACAAAATTAATTTAACGTTGCCCACATTCCACAAGCATATGGTTTCGCGTCACAAGCCTACTAATGCCTAAAAACCAAAGCTAATTAGCTTCGGTTATACTTATTGATAACTGGAAATTTTGGACCTTCGGCATAAAATAGTTATTTAAATGTTAACGGTGAATTTGATAATGAATCTTAATTTATCTTCATCAGTTTATTTGATTCAATAAAACAAGCGGTAACATGGCCGGGACTCTGCAAGTACAGTAAGGTCTTCGAAGTCTCTAATTGCTTAATTGGCCACATAACCATATCGTAATAAAGCCACGATTTACCACGCTGGAAGTTAGGAATCTTTAGATATCATCTTGAAGTTTAATTGATCCACCATTTCGTTAGAGTGAAGCTCATTAGAACTGTAAAACACTTAGATGCAGCGTATCTACAAAATAATGTTTACTCACTTTTGTTTCTGTTCCATAGCATTTCGATGCTTGGCGATATCCTTGGCAACTCTGGCGGCGTGCATCTTGGTATCTTATGTCCAGCTAGTCTTGTTATAGCTACAGAAAATAAATACGTGTTAATGTCTTTCTAAAATGATTGGTTGCATTATGCGTTTCTATAAATATCACAATATAGGGATTAAATATTTCATTGCACCAAGCGTTACAATTAAAAACAAGAAAAACGGAATGGAGAAGTTTTTTTCTTTTTTTCTAAAAAGGAAATATGTCGGTTTCTTCATTTCCGCCGTTATTTTTAACAGTTATACTTATAATGATGACCAAAAACTATTACATTATGTGTTAAGACATAAATTTAATAATGATTTGACAGTCGACAGTTAACGTACAATTTCTTTTGCCGATAAATAATCATTTTATGAACATCTCAATATATTACTTCATTGAACATTGGACACATTATTATATGTAATGTATTTATTTTTCTGCTTCTTTCTGTAGAACTTATGGTGTAGTAATGTATTTAATTATATGTTATATTTGTATTAAAAACTTTTCAAATTCAAGTACAGCAATAAATGAATATAAAATAGAATCGTTCAAAATATCGCCCCCATCTGTAAAATAAGATGTAAACACATAGTGAACTATGTCCGCAATTACTTGGACCCAATACATCGAATTAATCTAGCTAATAATCCAAAGTTTATGAAAAAATATTTAATAACAAACAAATCCATGGTGAATAACTGTGGAAATATAGCTAAAATTAGTATTTCAATGCGTCAAATTTCAGATACATTAGATAAAGTCTGATATGGTTATTAATGACTAATGTGAAATGTGAATGCAGTGAGAAAGTGTGTGCGGGAAGTGTGATATGATGTTGGAAGTATAGAAAGGTAGATATAAACAAAATACGGGGACCAAAGAGATTAGGCTATATGTAATGATATATGTAATGTTATATGTAATTATAATTATATATATTATGTTATGTATTTAATTGTTACAGAAAATTAAAAATACGTTTTCAGACTGAAGCGTCCCGTTAAGAATAGTATTTTTCACAATTGTTTGTAAAAATGTTCATTAAAGTGCAATATTTCAAAAGATTGTGCTACTGATATAAACGTATAAAGATATAATTGTATTTAAAAATGTATGTTGAAAGGAAACCAATTTTCAATACTGCAGCTTCAGCCAACAATGAATCGTTATACTCCTTTCATTTCCTTACAAAGTTACAATATGGTCTTGGTTTGGTCACCAAATTGGTGATTCATGATATTAATTTAATAATATTCATAATATTAATTTAATATTGATAAAAAAGCAATCTGGAGATTTTGTAGAGTAGGGATTTTTCAGCTCCTTATATGGGCATCACGTGTAGTTCAGGTTATTGTATTTTTCAATAATCCATCGTTTCTTTTCATAACATAGTGTCATCTGTATTCTGTGTAACGGATCACGTTGTCCATTCCGCAAATAACTTAATAATACAAAGGAAAACATGTGCTCCTTTATAATATTACAACACTATCCTACATTAACCTCCATAATGAGGTTTTAGGGTTGAAAATTCTTCCAAATCAGCAAAGAGCTTGTAATATCTTACTCCTTATAATGCAGATTAAAGTCGCTCTTTATGTGTGTCCATGTGCTCCTTTATAATATTACTTTATGTGTGTATGTATTTATCCGCATATACTTGACGTGAATCTAATGTATGCATTAATAATAATCCGTAGGACGGGCATACCGCTAGTCTATTTAACTGTTTTATCTTTTATAACCACTTTCAGCTCTAAATTGAAAGTGTTACACAAAAAAACTGTCGCCATTTACAACTCTTACACCAATTGATTTAGCGATCAGTGCTAAACTATTGAGTGGCAGTAGAGTTGTGGAGCACCTTGATTGAGGAGCACTACCTGGAGGCAGTACTCGGCAGCAGCCAACACTAACGCCTAGTAGTAGCTGCTCCATAACAATAGTACCTGGCTGATACTAGTAACTTAGTAACCAACAGTAACCAATAGTAACCAATAGTAACCAATAGTAACCAATAGTAACCAAACTCGGCAGCAGCCAGCACTAACGCCTAGTAGTAGCTGCTCCATAACAATAGTACCTGGCTGATACTAGCAACTTAGTGACCAATAGTAACCAATAGTAACCAATAGTAACCAATAGTAACCAAACTGCATCCTCTCAACTGTAGACCTGTCTAGTACGCGGACTTCAGTTACTATCTGTCTTGAGCTGGACAGACAAATTAACTAGCAAAAATGTCAACAAAACGTAAAAAAATAAGCAATGCTCGGTAAAATATGATGATCGAAACAACCTATCAAATTAATCATGATGCCGACAACAACGATAGAAGCAACAAGAAGATATAAACGTGTTTGTGTTCTCGTGGATCAATCAGGCAGTGACAAATGAAGCGTCAACTTCACCACCAGATCAGAATAATTTTATAAATGAGAAGTGAGCACAAGCAAATGAGACGAGCGACGAATATCATGACGATGGTAGTCCGCTGCCGGCCCGTGCCTGGCAAATGAAGAGGAGTTGGTAAACTAGGATCTCCTTCATCACGTGATATCCTGCACAAAACGAGAGGAGTGAGGAACATGACGATGGTGCCCGTGTCTGGCAAATGAAGAGGTGCTTTACGTTCGCTGGTAGAGTGAGGAGAAAGGATGAAGAGGTGCTTTACATTCGCTGGTAGAGTGAGGAGAAAGGATGAAGAGGTGCTTTACATTCGCTGGTAGAGTGAGGAGAAAGGATGAAGAGGTGCTTTACATTCGCTGGTAGAGTGAGGAGAAAGGATGAAGAGGTGCTTTACATTGGCTGGTAGAGTGAGGAGAAAGGATGAAGAGGTGCTTTACATTGGCTGGTAGAGTGAGGAGAAAGGATGAAGAGGTGCTTTACATTGGCTGGTAGAGTGAGGAGAAAGGATGAAGAGGTGCTTTACATTGGCTGGTAGAGTGAGGAGAAAGGATGAAGAGGTGCTTTACATTGGCTGGTAGAGTGAGGAGAAAGGATGAAGAGGTGCTTTACATTGGCTGGTAGAGTGAGGAGAAAGGATGAAGAGGTGCTTTACATTGGCTGGTAGAGTGAGGAGAAAGGAATGTAATTATTATGTCACACCTTATATCTGACAACCGAAGAAGAAAAAAGATAAGATTCCATTTTAAATAACTATAATAAAATGATTTTAATAAACACATGATATCCATTACTCGAACAGTGATAACAAGTAGTAAACTAGGATGGGCCTCATCTCCTGCACTTAAAATGGGACTATCAGGCCATGTTTGATTCAATACCAAAATGTCTCCACTCTTCCAACTGGAAAGTGGCAAAGGTGGAAGACAGGCACAATCCCACAAACACGGAGATAATGGGGTCTATCTAGCAAGTTAATGAGCGTTAATGGGTTAAGACTAAATATAATGACATGAGAGAGAGAGAGTGTAACCCGGCCACATCACCAACCACACGTGGACATCTCCACCTTCACGTGTGTGTGTGTGTTGCAAACTAATACACAGTGCTAATCCTAATAATCCTAATACATGCAGCCCAACCATCCTGGTAATGATGATGAGAAAGAAAAAGTATGGTTAGGCGGAAGCGAGGCGAGGATCACATGGTTAACACTAATTGGTGTGGTGGTGTAACAAGTGATGGGATACACAAACACACACACTCACACACACACACACACACACACACACACACTCACATATACCAGACTCTTAGGGCATATTGCAATTATATTTATACCTGACAGAGATAGTGATAAGCGGGAGATTATGCTGCTTTGGGTGACAGGGACGTGAGTAAATAATGTCCCGAATGTTTCCAAGTTATTTGTTCTAGGCTGCAGTGGCGGGAAGGTTGGGGAATGTTTCCAAGTTATTTGTTCTGGGCTGCAGCAGCGATTGGGGAATGTTTCCAAGTTATTTGTTCTAGGCTGCAGTGGCGGGAAGGTTGGGGAATGTTTCCAAGTTATTTGTTCTGGACTGCAGCGGTGATTGGGGAATGTTTCCAAGTTATTTGTTCTGGGCTGCAGCGGTGATTGGGGAATGTTTCCAAGTTTTTTGTTCTGGGCTGCAGCGGTGATTGGGGAATGTTTCCAAGTTATTTGTTCTAGGCTGCAGTGGCGGGAAGGTTGGGGAATGTTTCCAAGTTATTTGTTCTGGGCTGCAGCAGCGATTGGGGAATGTTTCCAAGTTATTTGTTCTAGGCTGCAGTGGCGGGAAGGTTGGGGAATGTTTCCAAGTTATTTGTTCTGGACTGCAGCGGTGATTGGGGAATGTTTCCAAGTTATTTGTTCTGGGCTGCAGCGGTGATTGGGGAATGTTTCCAAGTTTTTTGTTCTGGGCTGCAGCGGTGATTGGGGAATGTTTCCAAGTTATTTGTTCTAGGCTGCAGTGGCGGGAAGGTTGGGGAATGTTTCCAAGTTATTTGTTCTGGGCTGCAGCAGCGATTGGGGAATGTTTCCAAGTTATTTGTTCTAGGCTGCAGTGGCGGGAAGGTTGGGGAATGTTTCCAAGTTATTTGTTCTGGACTGCAGCGGTGATTGGGGAATGTTTCCAAGTTATTTGTTCTGGGCTGCAGCGGTGATTGGGGAATGTTTCCAAGTTTTTTGTTCTGGGCTGCAGCGGTGATTGGGGAATGTTTCCAAGTTATTTGTTCTGGGCTGCAGCGGCGGGAAGGTTGGGGAATGTTTCCAAGTTATTTGTTCTGGGCTGTAGCGGCGATTGGGGAATGTTTCCAAGTTATTTGTTCTGGGCTGCAGCGGCGATTGGGGAATGTTTCCAAGTTATTTGTTCTGGGCTGCAGCGGCGATTGGGGAAGGACCACTTTTGCTCCTTGTACTCTTAAGTAACTGTTTTCTGAGCTGAGTAGCTATTGGAAAGCTTTGACCTTTTTAATTTTCAGCTTATACTCTTGAAGAAGGCACAGGATACCTCTTACAGCTTTACAGAGATTCTCCTGAATCACTGTCTTACTGAAGATAAGGGCACGGTGCCAGTCCATGCTAGGCAACACTATGGTTTAATTACAAATGTGTTAC